GAAAACCAAGACATTTACAAATACGTATGGCAGTTTATTTCTCATAAACTCATTGCATGTCAATGTAAAAAATAACATATTTTTAATGAAACATAAATGTTTTCAAAAAAAACAGGTTGGTGAGAAGAGTGGCATTTTTTTTTTTTTTTTTTTTTTTTTTTTTTTTTTGCGGTACACGGGCCTCTCACTGTTGTGGCCTCTCCCGTTGTGGAGCACAGGCTCCGGACGCGCAGGCTCAGCGGCCATGGCTCACGGGCCCAGCCGCTCCGCGGCATGTGGGATCTTCCCGGACCGGGGCCCGAACCCGTGTCCCCTGCATCGGCAGGCGGACTCTCAACCACTGCACCACCAGGGAAGCCCTATTTTGTATTTTTTTAAAGCTTTTTCATGTCAGCTGCATTCTCATATCTGCTTGTGACTTCAGTTCGTTGTGATATATTGCTTTGATTGAAGTGTGAAGAAAATCCAGCCTCACACAGGGCATGCAGTTGGGAAAGGGAGAGAGGGGTATTTTCCTGAAAAGTATAGTCCTCATAAGGAATGGCCTTTTTTAAGAAAAAAAGAAAAAAAAGGGAATGACCTTTTTTGGTAATTATGGACATTTTTCTCTGTTGCTCTGTGAAAAACAAATTTCTTAAAGGAAAATTGGAAAGTGGAAATCATCTCTGAATTTTTCGTACACTGTTAGATTAAAGTCCATTGGTCTATCTTGTACTTTGAATGGATCTTTTGTTCATGCATGATTTTATAACATCCTACACGGGTCATTTGGAAAATATTGATTCAGTGAGTTATACACATCTTCCAGATGTTGAAATGTTCCATTAGTCAATATATTTTTTAAAAAATCTCATTTGTTAACTATCACCACCAATCTCATCGGAAAAGTCCTTCAGTGTTGGGAAGCTGCCCAGCTCACAATGGTGGATACATTTCCTCAAATTCTAATTTTTGTTTGAAAGCTTGAATTTTATCATTGATGATAAATCCTGTCAAATGCACTGAGCCTGTGCAAACATCACCTTCCTTTCCAGAAAGTCTGGGAATCCTAATGATAATTTCCATCATTTATCGAGCCCTTGTTCTATGCTGAACGTCTTACTAAGCAATTTACGTACCTTTTCTTGTCATTATATTCATTTCTACTACATTCCTGAAAGGTATTATTCCTCCTAGTTTACAGATGAAGAAACTGAGGTCCAGAGAGGTAGGTACTTGCCCAAGGTCACACAGCTAGTGGTACTCTTCTATACTACCAGAGTTTCAGAAAATAATTTTCCAGGTGGGACAGGTCTAACTGAAATACTCTGACCCCTTGGGCCCAAGAGTTAACTCCTGCTTGTCAGAACATGTATCCATTGGTTCAGATGAGGAAATATGGGTGCCCTCTCAAGACATAGCCATCAAGGCTTAGCTCAAACGTTACCTCCTTGGAGAAAACTTACAGCCTCCCTGGGATACAATAAAAAGTCCCTTAGGGCTTCCCTGGTGGCGCAGTGGTTGAGAGTCCGCCTGCCGGTGTAGGGGACGCGGGTTCGTACCCCGGTCTGGGAAGATCCCACGTGCCGCGGAGCGGCTGGGCGCGTGAGCCATGGCCACTGAGCCTGCGCGTCCGGAGCCTGTGCTCCGCAACGGGAGAGGCTACAACAGTGAGAGGCCCGTGTACCGCAAAAAAAGTCCCTTATCACTTATTGATTGGTAGTTAAAAGTGCTCAGCACCATACTCCATGTGCTAGGTCCATTACTTTGTTTCCTCCTGGCAACAGGCTTGCAAAGGAGGTGGTATTATCCCCTATGTTAATTTCCTGTTGTAACAAATGACCACAAATTGACTGGTTTACAAATTATTATTTTATAGTTCTGTAAGTATAGTTACAGTTACAGTTCTGTAACAGTTACAGTTATAGTTACAGTTCTGTGTATAGTTCTCACTGGGCTAAAATCAAGGTGTAGGCAAGGTTTTGTTCCTCCTGGAGGCTTTAGGAGAGTCTGTTTCTTTTCTAACTTCTAGAACCTTCTGCATTCCCTGGCTCATAACCCTGCATTCATCTTCAAAGCCAGCTGCTTAGCATCTTGACATCCCCCCCACCCCTCCCCCACACCCCCACCCGCTTGTTACTTCTCTGATTGTCTGACCTTCTGGCTTCCTCGCTCCTTTTTTTTAAGGATCTTTGTGTTTATATAGGTCCCACCCATAAAATCCAGAATTATCTCTTCATCTCAAAGTCCTCAATTTAATCCCATCTGCAAAGTCCCTTTTACCTTGTAAAGTCACATCTGCACGGGTTCTGGAGATTAGGAAGTGAACATTTTTGGGATGAGATTATTCTGCCTACCACACCTCCTTTTACAAAAGAGTCATAGAAACTTTAAGTAACCTGCTGAAATTCATGCAACCCAGTGAGTGGGGGACTCAGGATTTTATTTCTGGCCTGTCTTGACGCTGGGTTCCTCCGTTGTCTCTCGTTGCAAGTATGAGGGTTTGCTAAGGACTGCAGGGCCCACAGTGTTTGTTCATATTTTCCTTTTCACATTTATCTCCTTGTATTGAAATTATGTAGTGCCACCATTAAACACAAACAAACATAAAACATACTGTTGGTAATCCCTGGCAGTCCAGTGGTGAGAGGACTCCAGGACTCCATTGTAGGGGGTACGCCACGAGTCTGATCCCTGGTTGGGGAACTAACATCCTGCAAGCTACCCAGTGTGGCCAAAAAACCCCCAAAAAACAAACAACCAAAAAAAAACCACCCCCCCAAAAACCCCAATAGTGTCAACATTAAAAAAAAAATTGTGGTAATATCTCTGTAAGTGATTTGAAAATTAGAACTGAGTATCATTGATCATAATTTTGATTTTTTTTTTTTTTTTTTTGGCTGAGTTGGGTGTTTGTTGCTGCGCGTGGGAGCTACTCTTTGTTTTGGTGCGTGGCTTCTCATTGTGGTGGCTTCTCTCGTTGCGGGAGCACAGGCTCTAGGTGCGTGGGCTCAGTAGTTGTGGCACGTAGGCTTAGTTGCTCTGTGGGATCTTCCTGGACCAGGGCTCAAACCCGTGTCCCCTTTTTTGGCAGGCAGATTCTTAACCACTGTGCCACCAGGGAAGTCCCATAATTTTGATTTTTTTTTCAAGAACCGTTATGATGAAAATCAGATATCAACCATTATGTCACCAATGTGTTTTCATATCCCTCCCTGTCTTTCTCTATATGTAGGCAGAATTTTTCTGTGGTTTTAATCACAGCATGGATACAGTATTGTATTCTGTTTCCCTAGCTTTTTTTTTTTTGGCCGGGCCACGGGGCTTGTGGGATCATATTGCCCTGACTGGGGATCGAACTCGGGCCACCGCAGTGAGAGAGTCCTAACCACTGGACTGCCAGGGAATTCCCTTCCCAAGCTTTTTGCTAAAATTTTTTTTCAAGCATACAGAAAAGTTGCTGGTACCACTTAGATCCAACAACTGTTAACATTTTGCATTATTTACTTTCTCTCCCTCTATGTCTATTTGTGTGTGCTTATATAATTTTATTTTTTGTTGCACCATTAAAAAATAACTCAGGTATTATGACATTCACCCCTAAATTCTTCAGGTGCATATCCTAACAAAAGAACATACTCTCACATGAGCGTTATATCATTATTATATTATGGAAGTTACCAATAATTCACTAAAATCATCTACATCCAAGACATACGCAACTTTCTCCAACTGTCAAAAAATATTTACCAGGTTAAAAAACACCAGTATCCAATCAAGATTCACACACTGTATTTGGTTAAGTTTTTTTTTTCCATCTCTTTTATTTTATTTTTAGAATTTTGTGTTGATTTTAAATGTGTTAACTTCTGCTGTACAGAGAAGTGATTCAGTTATACATATATATGTTCTTTTTCATATTCTTTTCCATTGTGGTTTATCGCAGGCTATTGAATATAGTTCCCTGTGTTATACAGTAGGACCTTGTTTTTTTAATCTATTTTATATATAGTAGTTTGTATCAGTTTAGCTCTTTTATTTTAGACAATCCCTTCCCCTTCTTATATTTTTCATGGCATCCCATTGTTGAAAAGACCAGGCCCTCTGCCGTATGGAATGTGGCAGTGGATCTTACTGTTGATCCCCTCTGCTCAGCACGGGGTCTGGTAATAGTAGCCTCTCTGTCTGTTTGCTGAGCACTTGAAAACAGCGATCATGGTTATGAATAATAATCACAGAAGCTAATGTTTATTGAGGGCTGGTGCGTTCACGCCCACCTAATTTGATCCTCACAGAAATCTTGGGAGTTAAGAAATTTTATTAGCCTCATTCACAGGTGAGGAAACCAAAGACTTAGGAAACGGAATTAACTTGACCGAATCACTCAGCTATAAGGGCCAAAGTAGGTGATAGACTGCATGGTCAGGTAGGGGGTTCACTGTTTCTTGAACCAATGACCCGAGAGCTGGTCTCTCTGTATGCGTGCATGTATGCGTGTGATAGGCAACGCTGAGTGCTTACTATTTGCCAGGCCCCAATCCTAAACGCTTTACCGGTGCGTTTTCATTTTTATTTCTTCAAAATATTCTCCAATGCCTAGCTAAAGGCGAGGCACAGAGGAGACGCTCAGATAGTGTTTGTGGAATGAATGAAAAGTGAATAAATTAATGAATGGACGGATGTGACCTCCATAAACCGGGACTACTCTGAGCTCTTCAGCGCGCACTTCGGAGACCCCGGCCCAGGACGACCCTGGGGTTCGGGGGCGCGGGCGGACTTCAGGCCGCGGCTCCCGGGCTCCGGACATCCCGAGTCCCGCCCACCATCCAGGTGGCCTCCCGGCTGGTGAGAAACCCGGGCCGACCGGGCGCTTTGGCGTTATCACCTCTGTCCACTGTCCATTCCCCTGTGGCGCCGCAGCCGGACCCGGGAGCTCCAGGTCCGCGGCGGGCGGGCCCGCATCGGCTGAGGGGTCCGCCCCGGGCCGACTCCCGCCGCGCACGCCCACCTGTCGGCCGCGCATGCGCAGCGCGCGCTCGGCGCGCCCGGCCGCGGCGCGCCCGGCAGCCCCGCGCCCCGCGGCACGCGGCCAGTGCGCAGGCGCGGCGTCCGATGCGAGTGTGTTTGTGCGGGCGAGAAAATGGCGGCGGCGGGGGAAGCAGCGTGAGGAGTCGGACGAGCGCCGAGGCTCATTGAAACGGGCCGCCATGGCCCTCCGCAACCCGCAGATGAATAAAGCGAGACTCAAGAGGTTGTGGGACTTCCCTGGTGGCGCAGTGGTTAAGAATCCACCTGCCAATGCAGGTGACCCGGGTTCGAGCCCTGGTCCGGGAAGATCCCACATGCCACGGAGCAACTAAGCCTGTGCGCCACAACTACTGAGCCTGAGCTCTAGAGTCC